CCGATAGGGATCCGACAAACTCGCTATAAACAAATCCACCATACACATACTCGCTATAAACATACTCACTATAAACATACCCGCTGGAACCGTCAAAGTAGATGGAGGTTATGGAGACGAGGTCGACCAGACCCTCTAGATCCGACTCCAACCCGATAGGGATCTGGCATACTCGATATAAACGCACCATACACATGCTTGCTACGAACATACTCACTATAGACATACCCGCTGGAGCCGTCAAAGTAGATGGAGGACATGGAGACGAGGTCGACAAGACCCTCTAAGTCCGACTCCAAGCCGATGGGGATCTGATGCGGGAAGAGAAGGGACAGGGGGGCGAAGGGGACAGTGGAAGGACGAATCCGAGAAAGGAAAGCATACAGGAGAGAAGGGAAATAGGACAGCAGATAGGACAAGATCACAAATGTACACATGAGCATACACAGCAGCAGCACAGCACCCACATGCATCACATAACACCCAGCTGCAGACAGCTCAACACACCTCCACCGCACAGCACCCACCTGCACCGCAGCAGCGTTGAGCTTGAGCTTGGAGCGCAGAGCCCCCACCACCTTCCACGGGTCTGCCCCTGTGCGATCAAGCTTGTTGATAAAGGCGAGGCGAGGCACACTAGTGGGAGATAGGGGGGAGGGTGGGGAGAGGGTAGAACGAGGGAAGAACGTAAGATGAAGGTCACCCATCCACCCACCCCACCACCTTCCACGGGTCTGCCCCCGTGCGATCAAGCTTGTTGATGAATGCGAGACGAGGCACACTAGTGGGGGGGGAGGATAAGAGTGGAATATGGGGGAAAAAACGGTAGAAAGAGGGGAACGGGGGGTGGGAGGGTAGAGTGAGGGCAGTATGAGCGGGGGGAGATCACCTACCCACCACCTTCTATGGGAAGAGTCTGCTCCTGTGCGGTCAAACTTATTGATGAATGAAAAAAAGAAGGGGCACTGGAGGGGGCATGCAAGGGAGGATACTCAACCCCTTACCCCACGTCGACCTTAGTCCCCTCATAAGACCTCAATTGCAGCCGGCCGGGGTGTGTGATGAGGCGATTTTGAGTCGACTTCAAAAATTACATCACCCCTAACCCCTATATGATCTCAATTGCAGCCGGCTGGGGCGCAATGCAACCCATGCTGCACAACAGCAAGAAGAAGAAGCAGCCGGCAGCACCCTCACCCTCGTCTCCTTGAGCCCTAGGATCAAGGTTCATAGTGGAGTAGCTGCAAACCTGTAGAAATCACTTCAGCAAAAAGAATCGAGGCTGTAAAAAATTGCTCCCGGAAATTCAAGAAAATCTCAAACCCTTCAAACTCGAAAGAACCCTTATTCGCAAGCTAGTTTCGGCCTTCGGGACAGAACCCGCTAGGCCTTCATCAGTGCTGCTTTCAGGTTCATAACCTCCCAATGCAACCCATGCTGCACAGCAGCAAGAAGAAGAAGCAACCGGCCGCACCCTCACCCTCGTTTCCTTGAACCCAAAACCTCGAAATCCTGAATCATGAACCCTTCATGCAGCACTAGCTCTACAGCATCCGAAGCCTTGAACCCCTTAACCCTAACCTTGTACCCCTTAACCCGAAACCTTGTACCCCTTAACCCTAACCTTGTACCCCTAAACCCGAAACCTTGAAGCACTAGACCTTAAACTTTGGACTCCTAAACCCCTGAAATCCTCGAGAATCATGTCGTTAGCGCCCCGCCCACCTGTATCGTCTCATCTGCCAGTCGACAGTGATTGACTGGCTCTGCACTCCGCCCACGCTGCACAGCACCAGAATAGCCCCGTCCAGCACTCTACAGCCTGAACCCCAGAGCCCCACCCACCCACCTGTACTGCTCCCAACCCACCTGTATCGTCTCATCTGCCAGTCGACAGTAATTGACTGGCTCTGCACTCCGCCCACGCTGCACAGCACCAGAATAGCCCCGTCCAACACCCTTGGGACTAAACCCCAAACCTCTGATGAACCCAGAAATAAACCCTCAAACGTCAAACTGACAATCCCAAGAGCCCCACCCACCTGTATCGTCTCATCTGCCGGTCCACGGTGATGGACTGGCTCTGCACGCCGCCCACACTGCACAGCACCAAGATAGCCCCGTCCAGCACTCTTAAAGCCCGCTCCACTTCGATGGTGAAATCCACGTGGCCTGGCGTGTCGATAATGTTCACCTGTTGAGTGGAAAAGAGGAGAGGGGAGAGGGGAGAGAGGGGAAGAATAATGAGGCCCTCGCCACAACTACAGTGCTTCCAGATCCATCGAATCCATCTTGGCGCCCAGTGCCACCCAGTGCCACCCAGTGCCACCCAGTGCCACCCAGTGCCACCCAGTGCCACCCAGTGCCACCCAGTGCTACCCAGTCCTACCCAGTGCTACCTCATTCCACCTGGTCTCCAAGGCAAGCCTCACCTGATGGTCCCCCCACATGCAGTGAGTGGCGGCGGACTGAATGGTGATCCCCTTCTCCCTCTCCAGGTCCATCGAGTCCATCTTGGCGCCCACACCGTCCCGCCCCCGCACTTCATGGATCTCGTGGATGCGCCCCGTGTAGAACAGCACTCGCTCCGTCAATGTTGTTTTTCCCGAGTCGATGTGGGCTGAAATCCCAATGTTGCGAATCTGGGCATGGGAGTGGGGAGGGGGCAGTTTTGGAAGGGAAGAGACAGCTGTGTGTGCGTTCGCCCGCGCACTTCATGGAGCTCGTGGATGCGCCCCGTGTAGAACAGCACCCAGGCTGGATCCTCCCCTGGTATGACTTTTGAGTCATACGGCAGATCCAGGCCCAATACACTCAGAAGTCACTTTGTTTGCATTGCGTACTGTGGCTGGAATTTCTGGTATGACAGCTTTGGTGGGGGGGGAGAGGGGGGGTTACCAGCAAACACATGTAGGTTGCACAGCACATCATGGAAGCGGGGTGGAGTGGTGCAAACTTTCTACTCTACGTGCACAACCACCTTGATATTACATTGTTTTCGAGACGTTTCAAAAGCACAACCACCCTTGACCTCTCGGATTTACATTCAACTCAGAAGGTGCATTCCCAAATATGCTCACCGCCGCCGCCTCGCCTTCTCCCTGCTCTCGCGCCCAACGCACTCACCCCTTCACCCCATCCCCTTACCCCCTCATCCCACTTCCCTCACCCCCTCATCCCCTCATCCCCTCATCCCCTCACCCCCTCATCCCCTCACCCCCTCATCCCCTCACCCCCTCACCTTCTCCATGCCTTCGCGCCAAGGCTCCCTCCCATCCTCCTGCGCGCTTGCAGCCTGCATGCAGCGAATTTCGGACAGAAACACCCACACCACTTCCTGCACGCACCCCTCCTCACTCCCTCACCTTCTCCATGCCTGCGCGCCACGGCTCCTTTCCCTCCTCCGGGGCGCTCGCAGCTTGCGACGCATACCGCCTCACTCCCGCTCCTGCCACATCCGAGCCTAGCGCTGGAGGTTCGACAAACCGAACCCCTCCTCCCGAAGCAAAAGCAGCGGTTTGTAGCGCCGGTAACCGTTTTGCACCGTGATGAATTGCCCACGATTCCTGGAGAGGGATTAAGCTTGGCGCGCTGCAGGTGCTTCGCGAAAGCAGGGCGGAAGCGTGCGCGGGACCAACGCGACGATCTGAGCCGTTGGATCTAACACCGCCACGCCGTGAGGCGAATCGGACGGCAGCGAGGAGCAGGTCCCTGGATCGGCCACGTGCCATGGTGACGTGCCAGGCGAGAGGCTAATCTTGCCGAGAATTCTAACCGACGAGGGTGATGTCGCGAGTCGCGATCAGTGCGAGGGGAGCTGGGTTACGCCGCAGTAATGATCGCTTGGTGTCGGTACTTTCGCGAATGATAAAGACGGCGATCGATCGGAAGGCGAGCGACGCGTTACGAGTTGAATGACCAGGAAGAGGCGGAGTGATCGGACGGTGGTGGTGCGCTGGAAGAGAAATGGGCGGTCTAGATTCGCAAATGCAGTAGCGTGGGTGGAGGACGGACAGCACGTGGAAACCCTGGCGATCCAGTCAGCCTCCAACGCGGCCGCGCGTTGCGGAACAGCGAGGCTGTATGCTGAGAAAAGTGCGATCACAAGCAACGGACACAGCACTGTGGGAAGCCGAATGAGGGGTAAGAGTCGCGAAGGAATGCAGGGTCGCGTTTTTTTTCACATTCGTTTCAGACATGAGTTTTAAAGATTTGAAAAGTTATGGCTGTCGCCTTTTCTCCAGGTTGATTCGCTCGCTGTTTGACTAAGAACCTGATTTACGAGATTGAACAAGAACCTTGTTTCAAATAGGCTAGTACTAGATCTGCAATTTGGACGCGATGACTCCTCTTGGATTTTCCTTCAGAAATTCCCACAAGAGGTTCCGGCCTCTGAAGGAGGTTCGGTACGAAGGGGCTACCATGAGGTTTGACAGGGGTTTTGAGGGAGTAGGGGAGCGAAGGGGGGCTACCTCACTCTTCTTTGTGCGGCTGACAGCTGGACCCTCCAAGGAACTGGGAGGCCCTTGGGTCTGGAGTGAAGGCGTATCTCGAATGACGCGTTTCAATTGCTTCGAAAACTCAAACGGAAACCCGAGCGCAAGTTTGTTGACGTTTTGAGTTCGCAGCCGCAAAACGTCCTGTCAAGGACGTTTACCGTACCTGTCAAGAAGAGAAGCCGGTTTTTCTTGACGTTTAGCAGTTCAGAAGTTGAACCGAGCAGGAAACAACCTTGAGAAGTCGTCAGGACCCTTCCTTTCACGTGTAAACACAAGTGCTACCTCCTCCTACACAAACCACACAAACCACCCTCCACCCTAACCTCCCGAACTCCACCACCCTCGTCCCCCTTTTCCACCCGCGTGCCACTGATTTCACCTCATTCCACTCCTCCCAAGCTGTTCCTTCGTTGATTAGCTTTCCTAGATACTCTGTTGATAGCTTTCTGTGCCTGTTCGCGTTTCTGGCTCTCCGCCGCTAGATCTGCCACGTGGCGCTCGATGGCCACGTTACACGACGACAACGACGCCGCAACCCCATCGGCCGGGCACCTGTACAACCCGTACGCCGATCTGTACCCCAATCTCGACGCGCGATCCATCCAGGGGATCTATCGCCTTCCCGACGCGCCCGAGTTTCTCTTTACCGAGGAAGCGGCCGTGCAGCGACGAAGCTTCGGCGATAATCTCACTTTCTTCACCGGGTGCGGGTACCTCGGCGGAGCGCTCTTCGGCGGAATCCGCGGAACGGCGGAGGGCTTCCGCTCGTGGGAGGCGGGGGATTCTGCCAAGCTGCGCGCGAATAGGGTTCTCAACGCCGCAGGATCGCGGGGAAGATCTGCGGGAAACGCGCTGGGAATCGTCGGGCTATTATACTCCGGGATCGAAGGCGCTGCGTATCATTACCGCGGCGGCGTGGACGATCCGTGGAATGCGGTCGTAGCGGGGCTGGGCACCGGAGCGCTTTATAAGGCCGCGGCGGGACCTAGGACAGCGGCGATCGCGGGGGCTGTTGGAGGTATAGCGGCTGCTGCGCTTACCGCGAGCCGACACGTGGTGAAACGATACGTACCTATATAACAGACTAATGTTTTAGTTCTTTATAGTTGATTTTATTCCCCTTGCTTCTGCCCGTTTCACGACGCCCACTTCTTCCCCTTTCTTCCCCTTTCCACTTTTTTGGTGCCCGGCTCGATAGTTCCACCCCGCCCCATCATTCGTCGATAAAACACTGTTGCTCTCACCGCACCAAATCAGCGGATCTGGTGGTACTGGCGTGAGAGCACATGTTGAAGCAGAGCTTGTATCGAATCAGGGCTTGTGTCGAGCCTATTAGATCGAGGATTTGGTGCTGTCGAGGAGGATCTATCGCCGCCTCGGCGTCGCGCTCCTCCGTGTGGTTCAACGCATCGGATCTACCATTCAAGGTCTCCTCGCTCTCGTCGCTCTCCTGAGAAATTTCAAGACTCCCAAGAGTGACACTGCGCTTATCTCGCTCCCGTCGCTCCCGTCGCTCTCGTCGCTCTCAGCCCGTTCTAGGGTCCCAGGCCTCCAAGATCTCGAATCTAGGGTAAAGGATTTCCAGACCGCGAGACGGCCATACAACAAGGTTTCCAGTCCTTCACGCGTTGCAGACCTTTGTATTCAGTCGCTGGTCCTGCCATCGTCAGCTAGTTAGTTGCACACGCCTCGGATCTACGCGTTTCCTCTTCGGCCACGTGGCAGTCAGTTGTTCTCGCTTTAGATCCACGCGTTTCTTGACGCCACGTGGCGGCTTAGCGTCAGTAGAGAATCGTGTGGACGTCGTTCCGTGTCGGCATGCCATTCGTGATTACGAGGCTTGGGATCCGGCCGGGCTTGGCTTCGGTAGCGGATCGGTGCGAGAAGAGCCTATCAAAGGGTTGACTGCGGTGGGGTGTGGGAGCAGGTTGAGTGTGGTGGTGATGGGTTCCCGCAAGGCTTGGCTTCGGTAGCGGGTCGGTGCGAGAATAGCCTTTCAAAGGGTTGACTGCGGAGGGGTGTGGGAGCAGGTTGAGTGTGGTGTTGATGGGTTTCCGCCGGGCTTGGCTTCGGTAGCGGATTGGCGTGAGAAGAGCCTGTCAACTGCGGTCATAAGGGCTGGGAAAACGGTGTGGTGGGGGGCCGAGTGCGTTGGATCGTATCAAATTATAGCTAGGAAAGTTTTTACAGGACAAGGGGAGGGGAGGCGAGGGGAGAGTGGAGGGGAGGGGGAAGGGGTCGGGGTTCAGGGTAGTGGGTTTAGAGGAGAAGGGAGTTTCTGGTAAGGGTATTGCAGCTGCTGGAGAAGCCAGTGAGGGGAAGAGTAAGGGTCTAGGGTTGCAAACAGTGTGGTGGAAAGGTAGGGGAGGACGGGGGCTGAGATCAAGGAGTTTGGGAGGGGAGGGGGAAAACGGGGGTGTGAAGGGTGTGGGCTGGGTGGTTGCATGTAGCTGGGAAAGTTAGTGAGTGGTAGAGAGGGTTTAGGGTAGGAAACGGTGTGGTGGGGGGTGGGGGGTGGGGAAGTGGAGTGTGTGAAGGGGATGGGCTATGGAAGAGCAGGGAGGAGAGGGTTGTGCAGAAGGGGAGAGAGTGAAGAGGTGAGCAGAGAGTATGCTCAGAAGAGGAGAGGAGGAAAGGGGGATGGCGGGAGAGGAGAGGAGAGGAGGGAAAGAGGGATGGTGAGGGGGGATGCTGAGAGCAGGGGAGAGATGATGGAGAGAGTAGACTGGCAGGGAAAAGGGAAAGGGTGGGCTAGTTTGGATTGGCTGGCAAAGGAGAGTTGTCTGCTGCTGGAAGAAAACTCACAAGCTGAGAGAGAGCTATGATCTTCTTTTGAGGCGCCTCAAAAGAGCTGTCCTTTTTTCACTCATGAAAAGAATGGGTGTGCAAGGTGTAAGCAAGCAGGGCAGGAGGCTGTGTGTCTGTTGTTCCTCCCATCCCAGTCCCCCTTGCCATCCCACCCCCCCACTGCTGCCACTGCTACTCCCAGCATGTGGCACCACTGCTGCGACATAGGCAGGCAGGCACTTGCACTCTTCTCAAAAGTCAAACCAGCACCTTTGTCTTGTCTGCCTGTGCATGTGGCCAGTGGCCACATAGCTGCAGACTTACCACCAGTGTCTTTCATTCACTGAGAAATATGGACTACACGTGTACATGTACATGTTTTACCTCTTTTGTGAGTAGATTTTTCCTTTCGCGTGTGTCTTTGGATATAAATTTCCCCAGCCGACCATGCAAATCTGTTTTGTCACCCCTCAACCAGAATTCGGCCAATGTGTACTGGTACCACCGTTTATATAAAATTTCCACGCAAGTTCAAAAGGTAGTAGATTCCTCAGATCTCACACAATACACTGGATTCTAATCTGGCCTGGTGTAAACTGGAGAAGAAAAATGACAGGAAATGCAATGCACCCCTGCAGGTTTATCCCTCACACACACAAAGTGAAATATTTCAAAGCCCGCTATGTAAGGCCCTTACATTAATCTCTCGAGCACACGGACAGAATTTTCGATGGGAGGGAGGGGACAGAGCGGGAGAGGGAGGTGAGTATGGCAGCAGTGATGGCGATGGGGCAAGGGGATGGGGCAAAGGGGATGGGGCAAAGGGAATGGGGCAAGGGGAATAGGGCAAAGGGGATGGGGCAAGGGGATGGAGCAAGGGGGACGGGGAAAGGGGATGGGGCAAAGGGGATGGGGCAAAGGGAATAGGGCAAAGTGAATGGGGCAAAGGGGAATGAAGCAAGGGGAATGGGGCAAACGGAATGGGGCAAAGGGAATGAGGCAAAGGGAATGGGGCACCGGGATGGGGCAAGGGGATGGGGCAAAGGGGATGGGGCAAAGGGAATGGGGCAAGGGGAATAGGGCAAGGGGAATGGGGCAAGGGGAATGGGGCAAAGGGAATGGAACAAGGGGAATGGGGCAAGGGGAATGGAACAAGGGGAATGGGGCAAGGGGAATGGGGCAAGGGGAATGGGGCAAAGGGGAATGGAGCGAGGGGAATGGGGCAAACGGAATGGGGCAAAGGGAATGGGCAAGGGGAAAGGGGAAAGGGGAATGGGGCAAGGGGAATGGGGAAAGGGGAATGGGGCAAGGGGAATGGGGCAAAGGGGAATGGGGCAAAGGGGAATGGAGCAAGGGGAATGGGGCAAAGGGAATGGGGCGAAGGGAATGGGGCGAAGGGAATGGGGCGAAGGGAATGGGGCGAGGGGAATGGGGCACGGGGATGGGGCACGGGGATGGGGCAAAGGGGATGGGGCAAGGGGAATGGGGCAAACGGAATGGGGCAAGGGGAATGGGGCAAAGGGGAATGGGGCAAAGGGGAATGGAGCGAAGGGAATGGGGCAAACGGAATGGGGCAAAGGGAATGGGGCAAGGGAAATGGAACAAGGGGAATGGGGCAAGGGGAATGGGGCAAAGGGGAATGGAGCGAGGGGAATGGGGCAAACGGAATGGGGCAAAGGGGAATGGAGCGAAGGGAATGGGGCAAGGGGAATGGGGCAAAGGGAATGGGGCAAAGGGAATGGGGCAAGGGGAATGGGGCAAGGGGAATGGGGCAAGGGGAATGGGGCAAAGGGGAATGGAGCAAGGGGAATGGGGCAAAGGGAATGGGGCGAAGGGAATGGGGCGAAGGGAATGGGGCGAAGGGAACTGGGCGAAGGGAATGGGGCGAAGGGATGGAGTGACAGACGGGTTGTACAGTGTACTGCAATGGCACAGTGGGTGGGATCATCCATAAACGGATGGGCTGTGTTTCGAGTCGACTCAAAACACAGGAATGGAGCAAAGGGATGGCGCGACAGACGGGTTGTCTTTTGAGGCGCCTCAAAAGGCAGACGGGTTGTACAGTGTACTGCAATGGCACAGTGTACTGCAATGGCACAGTGTACTGCAATGGCACAGTGTACTGCAATGGCACAGTGGATGGGATCATCCATGATAAACGGATGGGCTGCAGCGGCCTCACTACCTGGGGCTCCATTGGGCTTACCACCATAACATCGTGAAATGAGGGTGTTTTTGAGACGTCTCAAAAGCAATGGCACAGTGGGATTGGGATCATCCACGACAAACGGATGGGCTGCAGCGGCCTTACTACCATACCATCGCACAGAGGGGTTGAGATCTGATTCCGTGCTCTGGCCAATCACATCGAGGTCGAGATTTGATCCTATGCATGGAGAGGCAGAGAGACAGAGAGGCGGAGAGACATGGTGGCATAGGGGCAGAGAGGAGTTGAGACAAGCGTTGGCAAGCCAATTAGCGACTGTGGTCCTCGCCCCCCCTGTGCCACTTGTCCTCCCCCCTCCCCTGTGCAACTGTGCTCTCGCCTCCCCTTTGCGACTGTTCTCATCTCACCTGTGCGACTGTGTTCTCATCTCACCTGTGCGACTGTGTTCCCGCCTCACCTGGTAAGTGATGTTCTCGCGTCTGCCCGGGCTTGGGCTATTGCGAAGAGTTCTACAGAACACGCAATGCCGCAAGGCCTGACATGCCTAATAGCCCGAGCGTGGGCTATGGCTGAGCGTCTGTTCTAAACTAACAACCTGAGCGAAACCACGCCATAAGGCCTACCGGGCCTAATAGTCCGTCTTTTGAGGCGCCTCAAAAAGCGTCTGTTAGTTCTAACAACCTGTTTCATCCAGCACGCCATGCCACAAGGCCTCACAGGCCTAATAGCCCCTCCCCATCCCTTCACCCGAGCCTGCTTCATTGAGCATGCTACAGGACAAGGCCTGACAGGCCATCCTGTGCAATTCAAGGCCTGACAGGCCGAATAGCCCCTCCCCCTTCGACCGAGCCTGTTTCACTAAGCACGCCATGCTAAAAGGCCTGACAGACGTAATAGCCCGAGCTGGGGTTATGGCGAAGCGTCTGTTAGTTCTAACAACCTGTTTCATCCAGCACACCATGCCACAAGGCCTCACAGGCCTAATAGCCCTTCCCCATCCCTTCACCCGAGCCTTTTTCATTGAGCATGCTACGGGACAAGGCGTGACAGGCCATCCTGTGCAATTCAAGGCCTAACAGGCCTAATAGCCCCCCCCCATCCCTTCACCGAGCCTGTTTCATCTAGCACGCCATGCCACAAGGCCTGACAGACCTAATGAACCGAGCCCGGGCTATTGGGAAGCGTCTGTTCAGACAGCCTGCTTCACTGAGCACGCCACGGTACAAGGCATGACAGACCGTCGCGTGCATAGAGCAGGGACGGTATGCGAATGCTAACAGGCCTAATAGCCCCTGCCCATCCCTCCACCCGAGCCTGCTTCCTCGAGCACCCCACGGTACAAAGCCTGACAGACCTAATGATCCGATCCCGGGCTATTGGGAAGTGTCTGTTCAGACAACCTGCTTCACTGAGCACGCCACGGTACAAGGCATGACAGGCCTAATAGCCCCTCCCCATCTTTTCACACAAGCCTGCTTCATCGAGCACGCCACGCTACAATGCCTGACAGACCTAATGATCCGAACCCGGGCTATTGGGAAGCGTTTGTTCTATCTAACAACCTGCGTCAGCAAGCACGCCGCGCTACAAGGCCTAACAGACCTAATGATCCGAACCCGGGCTATTTAGAAGCGTCTGTTCAGACAACCTGCTTCACTGAGCACCCCACGGTACAAGGCCTGGCAGACCGTCGTGTGCATACAGCAGGGAACACGGGATTCTTGGCAGGTTTAATGATCGCGCACCATCACTGTCTAACCGCACCCCACCACAGCCTAACCGCACACCACCACGGCTTAATCGCACACCACCACGGAATATTCGCGTGCATTTTCTGCACAGATGCAGACAACGACCAGATTCATATAGACAGGCCATTCGCACACCACGGGACAAGGCCTAAGATCCTCACATGCCCTAGGTTGCACAAACGACCGGAAATCTCGTTTTGAGAACGCAGGAAAAAATATATATAAAATCAGCTTCTTCTACTGAGCACACCAGGGCACAAGGCCTAACAGACGAGCGCATACACACGCTAGCAGCCCTCAAATCTGTCAGCTACTGCTTAATCTCCACTGACCTTACCTTGACATTATTTCTGAGCCGACTCAAAAGTCACCTCAGCTACTGAAAAATCTTCACTGAATTTACCGTGGCCTTAGATTGACGTTACAAGGGCTAACAGACGATTGCATACACACGCTGGAAACCCTCGAGTCTGTCATCTACTGAAAATTCTCCACCGAATTTTCCGTGACCTTAGGTTTACGTTACTAGGGCTCTCAGACAATCGCATACACACGCTAGAAACGCTCGAAGCTGTCACCTACTGAATGTTTCCACTGAACTTACCGTGACGTTCTAGGGTGGCGTTCTAGGTACGGGTAACGTTAACGCTGCGATAGCGAAACGGTACGCCTCGGTTGGCGTTAGCGACGCGACGGCCTGGCGCACCTCCCGCGCGAGACCGTGCCCAGGTTACCCTTTTAAATTCAGTTGCGACGCGAAACCGTGACGAGAAGCCGTGACGAGAAATTGCGAAGAGAAACTGTGACGAGAAACCGCGACGAGAAACCTAGAAAGGTTCAAACCCCACTAAAAAAGCCCTGACGATTCATCTCTCGCATGCTCAGAAGAAACCCTTCCAATTGAAAGAGATACACATGGCAGAGGTGATAGTGATGGGAGGGCTGCAGCAGAGCAGCAACCAATGGGACAGCAGCGATGGAGTGAGGGGATGAGGCAAAGCCATGGGGGAACAAAAATGACCTCCAGTCTGCAGATTCATCTCTTACGAGGACAAGCAAGATTCATCCGATGAGTGGGAGGTGCGCATGGCAGTGGTGGCGGCGACGGGATGGCTGCAGAAACCAATGGGACAGTGGCGATGAAGTGAGGAGATGGAGGGAAGGGGCGGAGCAAACGGGGAAATCAAGGGGGAGAGGGAGGGGGCCGAGCGAGGGGAGGAAGCTAGAGGGATTGCAGGGAGCGAGGCGAGAAAGAGAGGGGAGGGAATGGAGTGAGGGCAGGGAGCGTGAGCATGGAGTGAGGGGAGGAAGGGAGGAGGGGAGGGAGCGAGGGGATGTAGTGAGGGAAGAAGAGATGGGAATGAGGGAGGGATAAAACAAGGGAAAAAATCAAGGGATGTAGCAAGGAGGGATGAAGCAAGGAGGGACGAAGCAAGGGGGGACGAAGCAAGGAGGGACGAAGCAAGGGGGGACGAAGCAAGGAGGGATGAAGCAAGGAGGGATGAAGCAAGGAGGGATGAAGCAAGGGGGGATGAAGCAAGGAGGGATGAAGCTAGGAGGGATGAAGCAAGGAGGGATGAAGCAAGGGGGGATGAAGCAAGGAGGGATGAAGCAAGGAGGGATGAAGCAAGGAGGGATGAAGCAAGGAGGGATGAAGCAAGGAGGGATGAAGCAAGGAGGGATGAAGCAAGGAGGGATGAAGCAAGGAGGGATGAAGCAAGGAGGGATGAAGCAAGGAGGGATGAAGCAAGGAGGGATGAAGCAAGGGGGGATGAAGCAAGGAGGGACGAAGCAAGGGGGGACGAAGCAAGGAGGGATGAAGCAAGGAGGGATGAAGCAAGGAGGGATGAAGCAAGGAGGGATGAAGCAAGGGGGGATGAATCAAGGAGGGATGAAGCTAGGAGGGATGAAGCAAGGAGGGATGAAGCAAGGGGGGATGAAGCAAGGAGGGATGAAGCAAGGAGGGATGAAGCAAGGAGGGACGAAGCAAGGAGGGATGAAGCAAGGAGGGATGAAGCAAGGAGGGATGAAGCAAGGAGGGATGAAGCAAGGAGGGATGAAGCAAGGAGGGATGAAGCAAGGAGGGATGAAGCAAGGAGGGATGAAGCAAGGAGGGATGAAGCAAGGAGGGATGAAGCAAGGAGGGATGAAGCAAGGAGGGATGAAGCAAGGAGGGATGAAGCAAGGAGGGATGAAGCAAGGAGGGATGAAGCAAGGAGGGATGAAGCAAGGAGGGATGAAGCAAGGAGGGACGAAGCAAGGGGGATGAAGCAAGGAGGGATGAAGCAAGGAGGGATGAAGCAAGGAGGGATGAAGCAAGGAGGGATGAAGCAAGGGGGGATGAAGCAAGGAGGGATGAAGCTAGGAGGGATGAAGCAAGGAGGGATGAAGCAAGGAGGGATGAAGCAAGGAGGGATGAAGCAAGGAGGGATGAAGCAAGGAGGGATGAAGCAAGGAGGGATGAAGCAAGGAGGGATGAAGCAAGGAGGGATGAAGCAAGGAGGGATGAAGCAAGGAGGGATGAAGCAAGGAGGGATGAAGCAAGGAGGGATGAAGCAAGGAGGGATGAAGCAAGGAGGGATGAAGCAAGGAGGGATGAAGCAAGGAGGGATGAAGCAAGGAGGGATGAAGCAAGGAGGGATGAAGCAAGGAGGGATGAAGCAAGGAGGGATGAAGCAAGGAGGGATGAAGCAAGGAGGGATGAAGCAAGGAGGGATGAAGCAAGGAGGGATGAAGCAAGGAGGGATGAAGCAAGGAGGGATGAAGCAAGGAGGGATGAAGCAAGGAGGGATGAAGCAAGGAGGGATGAAGCAAGGAGGGATGAAGCAAGGAGGGATGAAGCAAGGAGGGATGAAGCAAGGAGGGATGAAGCAAGGAGGGATGAAGCAAGGAGGGATGAAGCAAGGAGGGATGAAGCAAGGAGGGATGAAGCAAGGAGGGATGAAGCAAGGAGGGATGAAGCAAGGAGGGATGAAGCAAGGAGGGATGAAGCAAGGAGGGATGAAGCAAGGAGGGATGAAGCAAGGAGGGATGAAGCAAGGAGGGATGAAGCAAGGAGGGATGAAGCAAGGAGGGATGAAGCAAGGAGGGACTGAAGCAAGGAGGGATGAAGCAAGGAGGGATGAAGCAAGGAGGGATGAAGCAAGGAGGGACGAAGCAAGGGGGGATGAAGCAAGGAGGGACGAAGCAAGGAGGGATGAAGCAAGGAGGGATGAAGCAAGGAGGGATGAAGCAAGGAGGGATGAAGCAAGGAGGGATGAAGCAAGGAGGGATGAAGCAAGGAGGGATGAAGCAAGGAGGGATGAAGCAAGGAGGGATGAAGCAAGGGGGATGAAGCAAGGAGGGACGAAGCAAGGGGGATGAAGCAAGGAGGGATGAAGCAAGGAGGGATGAAGCAAGGAGGGATGAAGCAAGGAGGGATGAAGCAAGGAGGGATGAAGCAAGGAGGGATGAAGCAAGGAGGGATGAAGCAAGGAGGGATGAAGCAAGGAGGGATGAAGCAAGGGGGGATGAAGCAAGGAGGGACGAAGCAAGGGGGGATGAAGCAAGGAGGGATGAAGCAAGGAGGGATGAAGCAAGGAGGGATGAAGCAAGGAGGGATGAAGCAAGGAGGGATGAAGCAAGGAGGGATGAAGCAAGGAGGGATGAAGCAAGGAGGGATGAAGCAAGGAGGGATGAAGCAAGGGGGATGAAGCAAGGAGGGACGAAGCAAGGGGGGATGAAGCAAGGAGGGATGAAGCAAGGAGGGATGAAGCAAGGAGGGATGAAGCAAGGAGGGATGAAGCAAGGAGGGATGAAGCAAGGAGGGATGAAGCAAGGAGGGATGAAGCAAGGAGGGATGAAGCAAGGAGGGATGAAGCAAGGAGGGATGAAGCAAGGAGGGATGAAGCAAGGAGGGATGAAGCAAGGAGGGATGAAGCAAGGAGGGATGAAGCAAGGAGGGATGAAGCAAGGAGGGATGAAGCAAGGAGGGATGAAGCAAGGAGGGATGAAGCAAGGGGGGATGAAGCAAGGAGGGACGAAGCAAGGGGGGACGAAGCAAGGGGGGATGAAGCAAGGAGGGATGAAGCAAGGAGGGATGAAGCAAGGAGGGATGAAGCAAGGGGGGATGAATCAAGGAGGGATGAAGCTAGGAGGGATGAAGCAAGGAGGGATGAAGCAAGGGGGGATGAAGCAAGGAGGGATGAAGCAAGGAGGGATGAAGCAAGGAGGGATGAAGCAAGGAGGGATGAAGCAAGGAGGGATGAAGCAAGGAGGGATGAAGCAAGGAGGGATGAAGCAAGGAGGGATGAAGCAAGGAGGGATGAAGCAAGGAGGGATGAAGCAAGGAGGGATGAAGCAAGGAGGGATGAAGCAAGGAGGGATGAAGCAAGGAGGGATGAAGCAAGGAGGGATGAAGCAAGGAGGGATGAAGCAAGGAGGGATGAAGCAAGGAGGGATGAAGCAAGGAGGGATGAAGCAAGGGGGGATGAAGCAAGGAGGGACGAAGCAAGGGGGGACGAAGCAAGGGGGGATGAAGCAAGGAGGGATGAAGCAAGGAGGGATGAAGCAAGGAGGGATGAAGCAAGGGGGGATGAATCAAGGAGGGATGAAGCTAGGAGGGATGAAGCAAGGAGGGATGAAGCAAGGGGGGATGAAGCAAGGAGGGATGAAGCAAGGAGGGATGAAGCAAGGAGGGATGAAGCAAGGAGGGATGAAGCAAGGAGGGATGAAGCAAGGAGGGATGAAGCAAGGAGGGATGAAGCAAGGAGGGATGAAGCAAGGAGGGATGAAGCAAGGAGGGATGAAGCAAGGAGGGATGAAGCAAGGAGGGATGAAGCAAGGAGGGATGAAGCAAGGAGGGATGAAGCAAGGAGGGATGAAGCAAGGAGGGATGAAGCAAGGAGGGATGAAGCAAGGAGGGATGAAGCAAGGAGGGATGAAGCAAGGAGGGATGAAGCAAGGAGGGATGAAGCAAGGAGGGATGAAGCAAGGAGGGATGAAGCAAGGAGGGATGAAGCAAGGAGGGATGAAGCAAGGAGGGATGAAGCAAGGAGGGATGAAGCAAGGAGGGATGAAGCAAGGAGGGATGAAGCAAGGAGGGATGAAGCAAGGAGGGATGAAGCAAGGAGGGATGAAGCAAGGAGGGATGAAGCAAGGAGGGATGAAGCAAGGAGGGATGAAGCAAGGAGGGATGAAGCAAGGAGGGATGAAGCAAGGAGGGATGAAGCAGAGGGATGGAGCGACAGAGGGTTGTACCAAATGGCACAGAGGGATCATTACTCATCCATGATAAACAGATGAGACAGTTTTTTAGTCGACTCAAGAATACAGCGAGGGGATGGAGAAAAGGGATGGAATGAGGGGTTGTACCAAAATGGCACAGAGGGATTATTCATCCATGATAGATAAACACATGGGCTGCAGCGGGATGGGCTGCGGCGGGATGGGCTGCGGCGGGATGGGCTGCAGCGGGATGGGCTGCGGCGGGATGGGCTGCAGCGGCCTTACACCCCTAGCATCGCACAGAGGGGTTGAGATTTGATTATGTGCATGGCGAGGCACAGAGGAAAAAGCCCTGCGGACCAAGGCACAGAGGCACAGACGCACAGAGACGCAGAGACGCAGAGGCAGAGAGGCAGAAAGGTGCAGAGGTGTTGAGACACAGGAAAGTTGAGATTTCATCCTATGCACAGAGGGCTGTGATGAAATCTCAACTTTCCTGTGTCTCATCACAGCCCTCTGTGCCATTTCATTACTAATGCGCGTCCCAAAATGGCACAGAGGGCTGTGATGAAATCTCAACTTTCCTGTGTCTCATCACAGCCCTCTGTGCCATTTCATCACTAATGTGCGTCCCAAAATGGCACAGAGGGCTGTGATGTGAACTGAGGCACAGAGGTAGAGAGGCAGAGAGGGGCTGGGACGAGCATTAGTGAGCCCATGAATGTGCTGAGAGAGGGAGAGGGACGGACGGGCACATATGACTGTGCTCTCGCCTCCCCTGGTATGCCATGTTCTCGCTTCTGTCCGAGCTTGGGCTATAGTGAAGCCCTGCGGACCAAGGTACAAAGGCGCAGAGGGGTTGGGACGAGCATAGGCACAAAGGCACAGAGGGGTTGGGACGAGCATAGGCACAAAGGCAGAGAGGGGTTGGGACGAGCATAGGCACAAAGGCAGAGAGGGGTTGGGACGAGCATAGGCACAAAGGCAAAGAGGGGTTGGGACGAGCATAGGCACAAAGGCACAGAGGGGTTGGGACGAGCATAGGCACAAAGGCACAGAGGGGTTGGGACGAGCATAGGCACAAAGGCAGAGAGGGGTTGGGACGAGCATAGGCACAAAGGCACATATGACTGTGCGACTGTGCTCTCGCCTCCCCTGATACGCCATGCTCTCGTTTCTGTCCGAGGGGCGCCTAGTGCGAAAGCCTGCGGACCAAGGGACAGAGGCACAGAGACACAGAGCAGAGGGGTTGGGACGAGCACAGGCACATATGACTGTGCGACTGTGCTCTCGCCTCTCCTGATACGCCATGTTCTCGCTTCTGTCCGGGCCTGGGCTTCTGCGAAGCGTCTGTCTGCACAGCACACCACGCTACAAGGCCTAACAGGCCTAACACGCCGATCCTGAGCTACAGCCACGCGTCTGTTCTACACAACTCACCACCGTACAAGGCCTAAGAAACCATCGCGTGCACACGGAAGGGACGCCACAGGATGCAGAAAACAACCTGATTCACCCAACACGCCGTGGTACAAGGCATAACAGGTCATCACGTGCACACGGCAGGGACGGTACGGGAATGCTGACAGGCCTTAATAGCCCCTCCCCATCCCTTCACCCGAGCCTGCTTCATCCAGCATTCCACGCTGCAAGGAATAACAGGCCAGTGCGTGCACATAGCAGGCTAGTTTTGAGAGCTTTAGTTACTCACCTGCTTCTGTTCTGCCTGAGCTTGGGCTATAGCAAAGGTTCTGTTCTACACAGCACGCCACGCTACAAGGGCACCACGGGAGTCTTAACAGGGATAACAGCTTGCACGGATGCAGAAAACAAGCAGTTTATCGAAGACTCCACGCTACAAAGCCTGACAGACCAGTGCGTGCACACGGCCACGGCCTAACCGCACACCACCACGGCCTAACCGCACGCCACCACGGCCTAATCGCACGCCACCACGGCTTAATCGCACGCCACCACGGCCTGATCGCACGCCACTACGGCCTAAACACACGCCACCACGGCCTTATCGCACGCCACCACGGCCTTATCGCACGCCACCACGGCCTGATCGCACGCCACCACGGCCTAATCGCGTGCATTTTCGGCACAGATGCAGAAAACGACCTGTTTCGTCGAGGACAAGGCCTAATACACTTACAGGTCCTAGCTTGCACAAACGACAGGTAATCTCGAGGTTGATGTCACTAGGGACAACGTAAAAGTTGCGCTACCAACCATCGAGTCTGTCAGCTACTAAAACCCTCCACTGAGCTTACCCGTGACCTTAGGGTGGCGTCTAGGGGTGCGTTAGCGCAACGTTAGCCTGGCGGATGCTCAAGGTACCCAGACGTTGCTTTAGCTGCAAGAATCTGCGATGCGACAGCCTGGCGGACTTTCCGCATGAGACCGTGACCAATATACCCGACGAGAAACCGCGATTGAGTGTAACTTCCAGTCGGCTACCTCCGGGGGTTTGGGCAAGTACTAGAGAATGAAAACCTGTCGGGCAAGTGCGCGAGTGTGTCGGCAGGGGCATATCCTAGCGCAGCTAGCGCAATTAGCGCAAGTATTGGAGTGGCGACTACAGGTTGGCGGGAAGTAGGAGGCACGAATGAGAAGGTATTTTGCTAGGATGGGCTTTCTCGTGCTGGTTTGGAGGGAGTAGGAACACGAAACGAAACTCTTCCAAGCATTCGAAATTCGAATCCGCGGGACTGTCACACAGCTCGTGCAGCTGAGAGCACACGTGGCAGTCCGACCCACAAAGCATAAAAACACGCACCCAACCAATCTCAATAATTACGAATTCTTGACACATGTATGGCATACTTACCTGGGCGGGGTCTATCGGTGATCATGAAGGCCGATGGCCTAGGGGTGGGCCCGCCATTGCACTTCGGCCGGCCCTACTCCTAGCACGCCGGAACTCCCGGTGATGCACGTCATTATTTGTGGCAGCGGGGGCTCGCGTTCGCGCGGCCCCTACCAATGGAAACTCGAAACGGGATATATGAATTGTGTCTGTCTCCTTTTGAAATCCTACATAAAGCCTTTCAATATATTTACAGAAGGAAAGGCTATCACAGCCCAAAATTTGCCTGCATTTGAATACAAAACAGAGGTAGCAGTCCACCATACTAATGCATTAGCAGAAGCTCTAAAAAGGTGAAGTAATAGTACACTAAAGTACACTAGCAGCATTGTGATCCGAAAGTATTGTTTCAACCACCACCCTCGCCTGGTGTGGCATCTTCTAGTAAAACACCAAATATATCGGGCTGGCCCTGGCTCAAACTCTCCTGCATGTACACTCCAAACAGAGCTACAGTAGGGTCCTTCAATATTTCTTGCCAAGCCATTGCATCAGTGCTGGAGGAAGCTTCCCCTGATCCTGCTGCATCGCCTGTGTTGGAGGGAAGCGTAGAAAGGTTTAGGCTCCATGGGCAGGGCAGAAATAACCTCACCACATCACTACCCTTCATGCTGCTGCTGCTGCTGCCGCCGCTGCCGCTGCTGCTGCTTCCAGCGACAATGTCTGTCTGCCCAGTGCCACTCCTGTCAACTCCTATGCCTCCTGCTTGGACGACACCAGCCCCTGAAGGCACAACCCCACCTCCACCTGCCCGTAAACCTTCACGGCTTGGTGCACCGCTGGGCTTAGGGGATGGCTTGGCATTGCCCTTAGGTTTGAGCTTAAGGCGTGTTCGAAGAGAATCCACTATCGCGACTGGGTCCTTGACCAGAGATGGCCTGCTGCTGCCACCTCTGTTGCTGTCACTCCCTGTCCCTTTGCCCTTGTCTCCTCCCCTGCTTCCTCCTCCTCTCCTGCCTCCTTTTGTGGGCTCCACGTGTGGGAGAAATGCTGCTGCTTCTGAGGAGGAGGAGGAGGAGGAGGAGGAGGAGGAGGAGGAGGAGGAGGAGGAGGAGGAGGAGGAGGAGGAGGAGGAGGAGGAGGAGGAGGAGGAGCTGTCACCGCCTAGAGGTACGTTTTTGTAGAGAACGACACTGTAGAGAGCGGAGCAATGAGTGTGTGCTGTGAGAGTGTAGGAAATGGACTGAGGCTGAGAGGAAGGGGTGCTGGCAGAGGGGGCATGGGGGTGGAAAAAAGGGAAGGAGGAAGGCAGTCAAAGGAGAGTAAAAGAGGGAAGCGGAGCGGGGAAAGAACGGAGCTTTGAGTAAGTGCTGTGAGAGTGTAGGAGATGGGCTGAGGTTGAGAGGATGGCGAGCTGGCAGGGATGCAAGGGTAGAGAAGACAAGGAGAGAAGAAAGTTGCAGATTTGATACAAGAGAGGAAAAGCAAGTATAACTGACTCTTGTGTTGACTTAGGGTGGAAAAGGGTGGATAGTGTTGGTGGCCGATGGGCGAGCAGAGGCGAGTGGGCGAGCAGAGGCGAGTGGGCGAGCAGAGGCGAGTGGGCGAGCAGAGGCGAGTGGATGTTGCAGCTACCCCCTGTCGTGCCTGTCAGGCGTGCCCACAGGGAGAGCCAAGGTGCCTGTGGTCGCTGGCAATGGTGGGCAGCAGTGCAGTGCACCACGCTGGTGGGTTTCCAGTCGACTCAGAACACAGCAGAGTAGCTATCCCCATCAATCACCTGTCTGGCATGCCAACAGTCGGAGCAAAGGAGGCTGTGACGGCTGGTAGGCACCACGCTGGTGGGTTTCCAGTCGACTCAGAACACAGCAGAGTAGCTATCCCCATCAATCACCTGTCTGGCATGCCAACAGTGGGAGCAAAGGAGGCTGTGACGGCTGGTAAGCACCACGCTGGTGGGTTTCCAGTCGACTCAGAACACAGCAGAGTAGCTATCCCCATCAATCACCTGTCTGGCATGCCAACAGTGGGAGCAAAGGAGGCTGTGACGGCTGGTAGGCACCACGCTGGTGGGTTTCCAGTCGACTCAGAACACACCTGTGCTTGAGTGCGGACCGTACAGCTATCTCTTCCTCACGCACCTGTCTGGGCTGTCAACAGTGAGAGCGAAGGTGCCTGTGGTGGCTGGCACCACGCTGGTTGGGGCGATTCTCCACCGCAGCGACGAGTAGTGCGCTGCTGGGGGTGACGGAACGAACAAGAAAAGTGTTTAATACGGTTAAGATGGGTAGAGAGCGAAAGTATCGCGCTGGTGGGGGCGATTCGCCAGCGCAGCGACGAGTAGTGCGCTGGTGGGGTGGATGAATGCAGGGAGCAAGGGGTTTGTTGCGGTTGAGATGGGTAGAGAGCGAAAGCGCCACACTGGTGGGGCGATCCTCCAGCGCTGCGACGAGTAGTGCGCTGGTGGGGGTGGCATGGGGAAGAAGGGTGGAATTGAGAAGGGTGCCACCCACGGGGGAGAGAAGGGGCAACAAGGACTTGAGAGCACAGGGCTACTGGGTGAGAGCGATTCTCCAGCACAGCGACGAGTAGTGCGCTGGTGGAAGTAACATCAACACGGTGAGAGAAGGGGTTTGGTGTGGTTGAGATGGGAAGAGGGCGAAAGCACCGCGCTGGTGGAAAGATCCTCCAGCAGAGGGGTGAGTAGAGCACTGATGGGTGTGGTGGGTGGTGAGCGAGGGGCAAGGGGGGTTTGGTGCGGGAGAGAGAACGATGCAAGAGGGATTGGGAGTAGTGTTGAATGCACCATGCTGGTGGGGTGGGTGCGACTTTCGACAGCAGCAACGAGGGGTTCGCTGGTGGCTGTGGTGGGTGGTGAGCGAGGGGCGAAAGGGGGTGGGTGAGGAAGGCGAGGCGATAACAGGGCAAAAGGGCAAGGGGGGTTGGGTTGGGACGAGTGTTGACAGCCATCACGTGGGTGGGGACGACTTCTGAGGCGCCTCAAAAAGGGGCAAGGGTGGTTGGGACGAGTGTTGACAGCCATCACGCGGGTGGGAGCAAATCAAATCACGGCTCTTTTGACAGCAGCAACGAGTAGTGCACTGGTGGGGGTGGTGGGTGGTGGGGGTGAGAGAGGTGCAGGGCGAGAGAAGGGTGCAATGGGGGGTCTGTTGCAGAGAGGAGCAATGGGGGGTTTGTTAGGGGTGCGATACAAATTTAAAGCACCGAGAGCCAGTTGGGGCAGACTTCTGACAGCAGCGACGAGTAGTGCAGTGGTGGGGGTGGTGGGTGGTGAGGGAGGGGCAATGGGCAATGGGGGGGTTAGTTGTGGAGGCTCTCCACGACGACGACAGCACCGAGTAGGTGCTAGAGGACATGGTAACTGGGCGTGGCTAGAGGACATGGTAACTGGGCGTGGCTAGAGGACATGGTAACTGGGCGTGGCTAGAGGACATGGTAACTGGGCGTGGCTAGAGGACATGGTAACTGGGCGTGGCTAGAGGACATGGTAACTGGGCGTGGCTAGAGGACATGGTAACTGGGCGTGGCTAGAGGACATGGTAACTGGGCGTGGCTAGAGGACATGGTAACTGGGCGTGGCTAGAGGACATGGTAACTGGGCGTGGCTAGAGGACATGGTAACTGGGCGTGGCTAGAGGACATGGTAACTGGGCGTGGCTAGAGGACATGGTAACTGGGCGTGGCTAGAGGACATGGTAACTGGGCGTGGCTAGAGGACATGGTAACTGGGCGTGGCTAGAGGACATGGTAACTGGGCGTGGCTAGAGGACATGGTAACTGGGCGTGGCTAGAGGACATGGTAACTGGGCGTGGCTAGAGGCAACAAGGAGGCAAAGGTGAGACACGGTTGCAAGCATGGGACAACACGGTAAGTGAGGGTGAGATGGGTGCGGCAAGAGATAACAGGTGGGTTGGTTGGTGAGGCAGGCGGGTGGGGGCCGGGGCAAAGGTGAGACACGCTTGCAAGTGGCAATGGGGTAGTACGTGGGGGTTAGATGGGTGTGGTAAGAGGTAAAACGTAGGTTGGTGAGGGAGGTGGGAGGAAAGTGGGAGGACAAGGGAGGGTAGAGTGAGTATGGGCGGGCGCAGGAAACAAAAAGACATGTTTGAGGATTTCTCCTGCTCTACCTTCCCTCTGCATGTTAGTTGGGTCTGCAAGTAAGCACTGTGCCCCACTCTCCAACACAGCTGGTCCACAAATCCCTCCTGCTCTACTTTGAGAGGAGTGAGAGGAAACGTGAAGGTAGACTGAGTAAGGGCGGACGCTGGTAAAAAGGAGACACGCCTAAGAATTCTTCAACACATCTAAGAATTCTTCAACACATCTAAGAATTCTTCAACACATCTATGAAACACATCCAGGAATTCTTTAACGCATCTAAGAGACACAGGCCTATGAATCCCTCCTGCTGTACTTTAAGGGGAGTGAGAGGACAAGGGAGGGGCCGGAGTGCAGAGAGATAAAGAGCGGACAAAGGAAACAAAGAAGTGAACAAATCCGGCACAAAACAACCGACCAGAGCAGCCGTCTTGTGTTGCAACAACGACAGAAGAAACTATTGAATGACACTCTATCTGTCTATAACGAGGACGTACTTGTGGCAGCAGCAGAGGGCCGAAGCAGTGTGACGAGGGGCAGCACCCAGAGCAGCACTGCAAGGAGACAGGGTTGACAACAAGGACGATGGAAGATGGAAGGGTGAAAAAAGGAATGGTGGAACGGGGAATGGTGAAAACAGGGAATGGTGAAACGGGGAATGGTGAAAACAGGGAATGGTGAAACAGGGAATGGTGAAAACAGGGAATGGTGAAACGGGGAATGGTGAAAACAGGGAATGGTGAAAACAGGGAATGGTGAAAACAGGGAATGGTGAAAACAGGGAATGGTGAAAACAGGGAATGGTGAAAACAGGGAATGGTGAAAATAGGGAATGGTGAAAACAGGGAATGGTGAAAACAGGGAATGGTGAAAACAGGGAAGACATGTAGACAATGGAAGAGGGAATGGTGGAACCGAAAAATGAGAGGTGGGCTTAGAGTGATGACACAGGTGATGGTGAGCACAACAACTTAGGTCCAGCACTGCAGGGGATGGTCCAGCACTGCAGGGGATGGTCCAGCACTGCAGTGTCGTTCCCATCCCGGCTTGATATTGCTTCGTCAATGTAACACTGGACCAAGCAGGGCCTTCATTGCCCTCACCCTCTCACCCCCCCTCACCCCCACCACTCCCCGCACCCCCGTCACCCCCCTCACCCCCCGCACCCCCCTCGCCCCCCTCATCCCCCTCACTCCCCGCACCCTCCTCACCAGTAACGAGTCCCCTCGGCGGTGAATGCGCTGTGCGAAGCATGGTGATGGGGGGAGCGGAGAGAACGCCCGCAACGAATTTATTTTCCGTCGCGCGGAAGTCTCTAGCGTAGGGGGAAGCTGCGGGCATGGCGGAAGCCGCGGGCTTGGTGGGGAGAACGCACGGCGATGGAGGATGCGACGCCAACAACGAAGGTTGCGGGCGTGACGGGAAGAGCGAGCGGCGACGGCGGATGCGACGACAGGCAGTGGAAATGAGTCGAACAACTGAAGACTCCTGAAGCTAGCGCTTTGAGGAAGGCCTGATGAAGGCCTTTGCTGGCCGAAACGCGTTCGCACGCGACATCTGGGCCTATGTGTCTGGCGTTCTGACTAAAAGACCTTTGCTAACGACTTCCAACGCTTTTTCAGATTAGTAGATCCTTCGTAGACTCTTGCTGCAGTCCGAAACCAGCTAATTTCAACAGGAGATAAGTCTACTAACTGAAGACTCCTGAAATGGACGTGCCGTTTGGAAATTTGACGGTTGGAAATGCAGGGGATGAGAGGCTTGACGGCCGGAAGTAGTAACGCCGGGAAGCGGGAAGAAAGGAAAAAGCGCTTGCACGACGAATTCACCCTATTCTGAGCGTGGGTTGCGCCGTGCGAAGCATTTGCACAGTGCACGTTGAGTGCTGGATTCGATATTCTCGCGAAACGCGGAGTTTACATACGTTTTGGCGTTCCTCTGGTCATGGTCCGCTCGTCATCGTTACCACTTTCAGGGGAATGCGTAACTGTGTGATGTGAACTGCTGACACTACGATGGTATGGTAGTCTCTTCTCGAGGCCCACCAACCAGCCAACCCAGCAATGGTTGAAAACGGCCAAGGATGAAATGAAGAATCTCCGGGAAGGCGTGTTTAGACGCAGTTTCTGCAACAGTCCCATAACCTGATGCAACGCTCAGGACGATTGAGGGAGGTACGTGTACAAGCAACACGCGGTTGCGACCAAGACGGCACAGGAATGGAACGACTTCGACACGACGATCTGGCATAACATTTCGTTCCTTGAATGCGGACCGCGGAGTCGGATGGCCTCGGATTAAAAAGCACCGTTTCGTTTTAAACTTAGCTAGCTTAGTATTGAGACTGACCAGAAAGAAATGTCACATCACAACAATATGCTTCTTACTTTTCAAAGCCTTCATTAAACACTCCATGAGCTAGAATGTTTCCTAGAATCTCAACCCACGTATCAACAGGACCCGGTGTACAATAATGAAGACAATCCGTTATCCCCCTCTCCTTCACATACCCCTTATGGCCATCTGGTCTAAGCGCCGTCATTGTATCAACATCCATGTACACTGCTTTCACCTCCTCCGCTATCTCCCTCGCAATATCATTTTGCGACGAAAACGTATCCCAGTGGAACGGCAACGTCGCCGGATCCTGCCGAATTTTTATTGGCCGGTCGTATGATGAGCAGTTGACATGGCCAGGCGGCGAATTCCTGTAGACAAGAAGGGCGCGAGGAAGCTTCCTGCGAAGCAGCCTCATGGCAGCCCGCACCGAGAGCTCAAAATCCCTCCCACCGACATAATGTGCGCCTCGGTTAACTACCACCACATCAGCACTCACCAAACCGTCATACAAGTGCCACGGCATGTGATCAAATGGCACGCTGCCACCTGTCGCACTCCCGTTGCTGCTGCTGGTGGTGCTGCTGCCGTCAGCGGGGCTGGCTAAATCAGGGTCCTGGATATAAAGGTGGTCGTTGCGAATCACATGAATTTTTACCCCCGGACACACATTCTCGTGAAACACATAGACCTTGCAGAACGGATGTGGTGTCACCACCACGGGAGCGGAACCCCGATCCCCCTCCTCCCCCTCTTCCTCCTCTCCTTCCTCTTCTCCTTCCGCCACCTCTTCATCCCCGATATTAGCAGCTCCTGTAATAGCACTAGTACTACCATCCCTACTTCTTAAATTCCTCCAGCGAGCAGCACGGCGCGGCTTCCTGGAACCATCCTCACTCACCCCTCCTCCTCCTGATTCTGCCCCTCCTCTCCCAAGGAGCCAGTCCACGCACTGCTTAGGTTCAAATTCGTCCACAGCCCAGGACGCAGGCTTGGCGACGTGCCGAAGCAGACCGTTCAAGAAGCTCCCAGCCATTTGGAAGGTCAGGGAATCCCCGAGAAACACAATGTTAAAAGTCCCTCTCTCCTCCCTTGCCCGCTTGCAAAACGCAGCTCCGTCAAAAGTTTTTAAGCCGCCCAATGGGCATTTGCCAGGTGGAGTTCTCCATTCGTACTTAAGCGATTCTCTTACTGTCCACTCCTCCTCGCTCCCGCCCCTCCTTACAATCTCATCCGCTTTTATACCGGACACCCCCACTCCCTCATCCGCTTGCCTGTGATCGCATAAGTTCATGAACCCGGGATATTCCCAGGGTAAAACCCTCGGAGTTGGGTTATACACCCAGTTTCCCTCGCGGCTGATGCACTCTAGCCACCGCTCAAACACCCGCACATCGCGCCGGCGCCGCAGCCAGCTTCCAGGAACCTTCCAGGCCTCAGCCTCCCGCCTCCGCAATCGCTTCTCCAGCCTCTCCCTTTTCTTCCTCTCTGCTTCACTCACTCGCTCTTCTGCTGCTCCTCTGCTTCCAAGCCGAAGACAATCCAAGCCCAGGTGAAGGCATGCCTCAGATACAGCCTCCCCCAGGTCCTCTCTGCTCCAGGTAATCCGGATCCCTCCCACATCCTCCTCTTTCTCTCCTCTCTCCTCCTCCGCTTCTTCACGCTTCCCTTCTACCTGCATAGACTTGGTCTCTCCTTCCCTCTCTTCCTCGGCTTCCTCTCCCCAATCAGCATCATCACTATTCTCATCACCATTTTCCCTCCTCTCATCTGCATCTCCAACAGCGTCCTTCCCCAAACTCCCCCCCTCCGCACCTACTGCCGATCCTCCTCCTTGGGAATCTCCTAGATCCATTTCCCCATCCTCCCGAGCCTCAGGCTCGGTGACGAGCCACAGCTTCGGCAGAGGTTTGAAATTCAGCCGCTCGGACGGCACAGAGACGACGTGCAGGTGACACGTGGCACTCAGGGATTGGATGATGGAAGAAGACGAAAGGAACGGGTCGGGCAAGGGGTTGGAGAGAAGCGGCTGGGCAGGCAAGGAATCATCCTTTGAGTGAGCAGGGGAGGACGAGGAGGAGGAGGAGGGGAGAGAGTGAGAGAGTGAGAGACCAGTTGGGGGTTGGAGGAGGAGGAGGGAGGAGTTGGGGCGAGAGTATATGAGGAGGGGGAGGAGGGAGGGTAGGGGGAGGGAGACGAGGAGGGAAGTGCGGGGGAGGAGTGTGCGTGCTGATGGGGGAAAAGAAGGGGGGGAAAACGGAAGGGGGCAAAAGGGAAAGATAGGAGAGGTGAGTGGTGGCATGAGGGAGTGAGGGCATGGCAGGAGGTATATCCATTTCCCCCTAACACCCCATACAGCACACCAGATGACCCTTCATCACTCCTCATCACCCCTCATCACCCCTCATCACCCCGCATCACCCCTCAGTACCTTGCTTCCATCTGAGCCTCTTCACCACAGTGACGTTGCTCTCCCCAAACTGCTGCCTCAGCAGACCCACGAGCCAATCAAACTCCGCCATCTGGACGCCACGAGGCATCGCCACCACCACCACCTTCCCCTCCTCCCTCACTCCCTTCACACTCCCCTCTTGCCCTTCCTCTCCCTCTCCTTCCACCCTATCCCTCCCCCCACTCTCCTCTCCAATACCACTACTGTCATCCTCCTTTTCACTACTGTCCGGGTGGCTGCGTTTGTCCTGGTATGTGCCGCCCACTGCCGGCCGCAGCGACCAATCAGGTTGAAGCAGGGGCAGGTGGTTAGAGGAAGGGTGGAGGAGGAAGGAGGATCGAAGGTGGGTCCACACTGAGGGGCTCAGACGGCCGCAGTGCTGCTGGGTGGGCTGGGGGAAGGGAGGGGGAGGGGGGAGGAATAGAATATGGTTAATGACACGAGAAAGGCATGGATGTGGGGTGGAAGGTTCGAGGAGGAAGGAGGAGCGGATATGGGTCTACATTGAGGGGCTCAGATGACCGCAGTGCTGCTGGGTGGGCTGGTGGAGGGGGAGGCGAGAGAGGCAGGGAGGTGAACAGGGGGCAAGACATGCGATGAGGCTGAGAGGAGGAAGTGGGAGGGGAGATGGAATGACACTGAGGGGCTAAGGCGCACACAGTGCTGCTGAATGGGCTGGGGAGGTGAGAGAGATAGGGAGGAGGAGAAGGGACAAAAGAACTGCGGAGGGAAGAGCGGAGATGGGACCACACTGAGCGCCTCAGGTGCCTGCAGTGGTGCAGGGTGGGCTGGGGAAAGGGGGACGAGGGGAGGGGGAGTGGGGATGGGGGCCACGGGGAGGAGGACAACAAGGGACATGCGATTGCGTTGGAGGAAGGAGGAGCGGAGGTGGGAGGGAGGGGCTAAGGTGCCCTTAGGGCTGCTGGGTGGGGTGGGGGAAGGGGGGTTAGAGTAGGGCTGTGAACGGTAGGGTGGGGGGAACGTAGATGGAGGGAAGGGGAATGGGGACCATAAGGGGGGGGGGCAGAATTGAAAACTTTATGGATTACCCTGTCTGAAAAATCACCTGAGTCATGTAAAGAATTACCTCAGTCACCACTGGAATCACCTGAGTCACCTGAGGAATCACCTGAATGAGGCGCCTGACAAAGAAGAGCTCGTCAGCAGCAGGAGGCGCGACGATGGTTGCATTGAGAGATGCAGAGGCGAGCAGGCGAGGGAGCTGCAGGGAAGATCACAAAAACACGAAGAGATAAGGCCGGGAGGAAACACGATGGTTGCATTGAGAGATGAAGGTGAGCAGGCGGGGTGTTTGCGGATCGCACATGCACACACAGACACGCAGAGAAAGGGTGTGTGACGGCGGGAGAGCAGTACATGGGATGGTAGTGCATAGAGAGATCAGGATGATGTGAATATGATGGTAGTGCATGAATGTAGAGGGGGGGGGGGGGGGAGTGTGATTGAAAGATCACAGTGGTGCGAATATGTTGTATAATACAAGGGGTGTGTATGGAAGGGTGCAAGCGAGCGAGTATATGTGATGTATGCAGAGCCAAACCAATCAGTATGTACATACCAGAAGTGCACTCTTGAGTCTTGACTTTTGGGTCGACTCAAAAGTCAGCTTGGAAGGGTGCAAGCGAGCGAGTATGTGTGTTGTATGCAGAGCCAAACCAATCAGTGTGTCAGCAGCCACGTACCAGAAGTGCACTCCACGTACCCATAAACCGCCCAGCAGCAAAGGTGTCCCTGGATACTCCCAGGATGAGTCCCTACACTCTCTCTGTGAGGCGCCTCAAGCGCAGTTACACACGTGCCTGCCCCAGAAGCAGAGCCACGTTATGCGGCACTTACACGCACCTAACAGACGGACAGCACTGCACTGCACTGCACTGCACTGCACTGCACTGCACTGCACTGCACTGCACGTACCCCTCTCCGTCCTAGCAGCATAGGGAACCCCGAATTCGCTCCCAGAACCTGTTGTCGAGGCGCGGCAAAGCCACACTGCGCTTACCCTAGCCTGCTTCAACAGCAATGGAGGCATTTCCCCCTACTCTCTCACTCTCATACCCGATTTCTGAGACGCCACTAGAACTGACACCACTTACCCGTGCCTGTCCCAGCAGCAGAGGCATCACTAACCTGTGCTGCTGGGACAGGCACGGGTAAGTGGTGTCACTAACCCAAACCTGTTTCTCGTAGCATCGTTCTGAGGTTCTTAGAAAACGGACTGCGCTGCACTCACCCGTGCCTGCCCCAGCAGCAGCAGCGGAGGCATTTCCCATTTTCTCTCAGTACAACTCACCCGTGCCTGCCCCAGCAGCAGCGGCAACTCCGGATTCTCTCTCAGAAACGGCGCCACTTGCAGCAGCAGCGGTGCCAGTTGTAACACCGTTGCCCCGCTCCTGTCTCTGCTGCCTGCCACGTCAGCAGCTGCCACGTGGCCTCTGGGGACGAGGAGATTGACGAGGGTATCGTGGATGGTTACCCGGGTGCCGAAAGGGTAGAAGAACTACCGTGCTTGGAGGGAGGGAGGGAGAGGGGGGGAGCGAGGGAGGGAGGGAGGGAGGGAGGGAGGGAGGGAGGGAGGGAGGGAGGGAGGGAGGGAGGGAGGGAGGGAGGGAGGGAGGGAGAGAGGGAGGGAGGGAGGGAGGGAGGGAGGGAGGGAGGGAGGGAGGGAGGGAGGGAGGGAGGGAGGGAGGAAGCGGGAAGGCACAGTGGGAAGAAGGGGAATAGGGAAGTCGGGGGTAGGTGGGAAGGGGGGAAGGAAGGGAGAGCAAGAGAAAGAGGGTGAAGAGTGGATATTGACAAGATCAAGCATCACCTCTTAACGAGGGCAGAGGCGCTGAACGCCTGGCCCGCTCACCAGCTCACCAGCTCACCAGCTTTCTAGAATTCCAAAAACACCTTGACCCTCGCCTCGCCGGTCACCAGTTCAGTTGGTAACCCACAGTGCAAGCCCACCATGTGCCTCACCTGGGTTGAATGAGCCCATGGCAACCATTGGCATGGTGCACATGGGTCGCATTGAACACCCCCTTGCTTCTTTCCCCCCCTCCCCCCGCGCTCACCTATCATTACGTGGTAACCATAGGCAGAGACCAGAGACAGGAAGAAAGTGAGTCCCTTCCTTAGCCTGGTAGTACACACGGCACGGCCCATCACGCGCGTCTCACCTGGGTGAGCCCGTGGCAGCCATTGGCATGGAAAACGTGGGTTGAGTTGAACACCCGCCCCTCACCACTCACAAACACGCCTGCCAGCTCATGCACCCTCCCCGCCCACTCCGCCCACTGCACTCCCCCGCCTCCCCCGCTGCTTCCCCCGATTCCCCCCGCTCCCCCCCCCACCCCCACCAGATCCACATATTGTGGGTTCTCGCACACCCACACGCCCCCTCCCCTGCCTTTCCCCTCACTCCCCCTGTCACCGCTGCTGCTGCCCTCCTCCAGCCACCCCTCCCCCGCTTCCCCTGTCTCCCCATCCCCACCATCTCCCTCCCCCCGATCTTCCCCCAGCCCTGGCGGCTGCAGACCTGGAGAACCGAGGCAGGGGGCCATGCGGGGACACGTGGGGGGGGACTGACAGCTGGCGACGTGCCATTGGGCGTGCGGTGGGGGCGAGTCTAGCGACATAGATGTTACGCCCGAGTGAGATGTAACGCCCAATGTAACGCCTGCGCCGCCGTTGGTGGTATCTGCTCCCGCTCCTCCTGCTGCTGCTGCGGAATCTGCTGCCTGGAAGTGATTGTACCGACCTGTGCCTATAACGGATGGAGCCATAACGGGTATGGAAGCAGTGACGTGGCGGGAATCGTGGGGGTTCAGGTCGACGATGTCGAGACCGTACGATTCCAGAGCCTGCAGCAGGTGGTGCTGGGATTGCTGAGGGTGCTGGGGGTTTTGCTGCTGGCCTTGGGATCGGTTCATCTGGCCTTCGTTTTGAGAGCTGTCGCTTTGGCTGCTGCTGCTGCTGGTGTTGCTGCTGTTACCGCCACTGCCACTGCTTGCACTGCTGCTGATAATCACACCAAATACGCCGTCGCTTGGTTTTCCAGCTGCTGCAGCCACCGCTCCTGCTGCTGCTGTTGTGGTCTTGGCCGTAGTTGCTACTGCTGCTATTGTTGCTGCTGCTGTGGGTTTGGCCGCTGTCGCCGCCGCCGCCGCCGCTGCTACTGTTGCTGCCGCTGTAGTCTTGGCCGCTGCTACTAATGCTGCTGTGGCGGAGAGAGCAGGCGATGACGACGACACAGTATCCGAAGCCTTCAGACCTTTCCTCGCCAAACTTCGCCTCATTTCGCCGCCTCCTCCCGTCGCTTCTACAGTAGCGAATCGTCCCAATAAGAGCAGCCCCGATACAAGCAGAAACGCTACAAGAACGGCTGGTCGAAAACAGCACATCGTAACAACCTTTTCACTATCGAGACCCCTCCGAATGAACACGGGAGTTCGTCCAGAAGCACTGCCGACCCGTCTCCGTTTCAAGCCGCCGTCGGGTCCGCTCGTTCGCTTCCCCGCCATTCTCCGAGCCACTCGGGCTGGAATATTTTCCACCTAGAAAAACTACCGACTGATCAAGTCAGTTCGGGCAGAAGCACTGCCGAACCGTCTCCGTTTCGAGCCGCTGTCGGTACCACTTCGCTTTCTCACCATTTTCTGGTGTTTCCCAATCGCGTATAGGTCAATCGGCTGAAATGCCACCGCCTAATGCATTCGCAGTTCTACGAGCATGCTTTCGACGCCGCATTAGCCTGCCATATCGGTGTCGTATCATGCGAAGTCTCTACGTGAAGGAATATATTAGAGAGCGTAGCGATGGGAATGATGTTGCGCCAGCAACTTGGTAGCATGACTTCGTGAGAATTGAAGTAGCATTTGGGCCAAGTAGAATTGCAATATCAACTATCAAACACACAAGCAAACACAAACACATATAGGCAAGCAAGAGTTGCACAATTGTTGCGTGGCGCTGCGAGTAACCCAACCCACACGAAAGTGCTGTGCAGGTGGGTGAACGCGCCCCGCACATTTCCAACCCAACTCGGCACCGGAATGTCTCACCGTGCACGCTACTCCTGCCAACACAGCAAGTGAGCAGCGTGCCTCACAAGCAAGGCACCTACGACCCCCAAGACTCGTCATTCCTAGCACCGATTCCGCCGAGTTCGCTGCAGTAGCTCACAGTCACCCGTAGTCACTAATGACCGCCACCGAACTCGTGCGTCGGTGCCGAGTAGACTCAGTCGTTAGGCGCCGACCTGCCAAGTCAAAGGTCATCGAGGGCCCTTGCTGTCGTAGGGCCCTCTAACACTCCCCTGCCATACTACAGCAAGGCCCTTTATAATCACAGGGCATGCATACACACATATACACCAAAACAAAGGGATACACACAAACGAAACACGCTCAAAGTGTAAACACGCACCGCACCAGCCATGGATAGGCCATGGCACCATCCACATCATGGAGTGTCTAGGTCTCACTCCCCTCGCTCGAGAGCCGCACCTGCCCCACAGCCTCGAAGCAACGACTGAAGGCGGGGAAATGCAATGCCTTCGTGAGGTAGTCAGCAGGCTGCTCGCTCGTAGGGATGTACTGCAGCTGCAGCTTCCTGCGCTTGACCATGTGCTGCAGCCACATGTGACGACGCTCCATGTGCTTGAGGCTCCCCTTGAGCCCCATGCCACCTGCCACTGAAATGGCGGAGGAGTTGTCCACAAAGAGAGTCGTGGGCTCCTCACTCCTCAGCAGTTGAAACTCTGCCAGCAGGAAGCGCAGCCTGCGCGCCTCCTTCCCAGCCTCCACAGCAGCAACGTACTCAGACTCAGTGGAGGAGAGGGTGGCGCAACGAATCCTCTGGCTCGCCCATGAGACAGCAGCACCCCCGAGCACGAAGACATAGCCACCTGTGCTGGTCCTGTTCTGCTTGTCCCCTGCATCATCAGCATCGGCGTAGCCCACCAGCTCCAAGGACTCCGGCCCACCACCAAACTCCAGCGCCACATCCCTGCTCCCCACCAAGTACGTCAAGCACCGGTCCAACTCCTTCCAGTGCTGATCACTCCGCACAGTCTGGCCCGACCCCAGCTTACTGCAGGCGAACGAGATGTCGGGACGGGTGGTACAGGCCGCGAACTGCAAGGATCCCACCTTCTGCCTGTACTCCTCCTCCTGGCGAGACTGCCATCCCACATCCTCGAAGGTCTGCACACTGAAAGGGTCAGAGGAAAGAGGGGTGCGAGGCACTCGCAGCGGCTGCTCCCCGTCAAACAAGCGCCTATGGACCTTGTCCACATAGGCCTCCTGGTGCAGCCACAGCCTCCTCGTGGGCCTGTCCCGAATCAGCTGCAACCCCAGATATTTCTCCACAGGGCTAATCTCCCGCAGCTGAAAGGCACTCTGCAGCAGGTCACGCAGCTCCGCTAGCATGCTCTGACTGCGGCTGGCAGCAAGCAGGTCATCCACATACACCAGCAGCCAGCACATCTCCCCCTCAGCATCAGTCTTGAAGTACAGAGCCTCATCCACCTTGCTCTTCTTCCATCCAGCCCCAAGCAGCACCCCATCCAAGGCCTCATACCATAGCATCGGGCTCTGCTTGAGCCCATACAGACTCTTCACCAACTTACAGACACGAGGAGTCCCATCCTCGTAGTAGCTCGGCTGCTCCATGTAAAGGTCTCGGTCCAGCACGCCATGGAGGAACGCGTTCTTCACATCGAGCTGCATCAGGTCCAAATCAAGTGCAGCTGCAATCGCCAGAAGCACACGCGCCGTCACATAGCTTCCCACAGGGGCGTACGTCTCCTCATAGTCCACCCCTACCACCTGCGTGAACCCCTTCACCACCAGCCTCGCCTTCTCACGCTCCACTATCCCATCAGGTCGGAACTTGGTGTTCAAAATCCAGCGGTTCTTCATCACATTCACCCCTGGCGGACGCGGAACCAACTCCCATGTCCCCTGCTCAATCAAGCTCCGCATCTCCTCATCCATCGCCTCCTTCACCTTGTCTCCCTTCCAGCAGCCCAAGGCCTCCTTCACTGTCATTTTCGCTATGTCCCACTGCCTCTCAGGATCAGCTGCCACGTCCGGGTCCAGGTTAGTCCACTCCTCGTCCTCCTCCTCGTCATCCAAGCCCGCTGGCTCAACCACTACAGCCCAAGCGTATCGAACAGGCGGGACACCACGAGTGATGCGAGTGGAGCGACGCAGTGGTGCAGTGGTCGTCCCAGAAACCAACACACGACCACCATCTCTAATTCCCCACATCTCCTGCTCCCCTGTCTGCGGCTCCCCTGTCTGCTGCTCCCCAATCTGCTGCTCCCCTGTCTGCTGCTCCCCAATCTGCTGCTCCCCTGTCTGCTGCTCCCCTGTCTCCTGCCCCCCACTCTGTTGTACTCCATCCTTACTGCTCTCGTCCTGCAGCTGCTCAGTCTCAAGGCGCTGCCCGTCGGTGATCTCCACAGACGGTGGCACCTCCATCCCCCCCTCACCAACGGGCGGCGCCGTGGAAGACGAAGAAGAGGGCGGAGCAGGTGCAGGAGGGATGGAGGGTGGAAGGGGAGATGGAATAACAGGAGGAGGAGGGGAAGCCAAGGGGGGTGAGGAGGAAGAAGGCGGGGCAGGGGGAATCACACGAGGGTAGACTGAAGGCGGAGGTGGGGTGGGGACCGAGGTAGGGACATAGGGCATAGCAGGAGGTGCGACCACCTCCTCCTCCTCCTCCGCCTCCTCGAGAGTGATCGGGAAGAGTGAGGGAAGGGGCTCATAGGGCATCGAACGCCCCCCATGCTCCTGCTGATGCCAAGCCTTCCATCCTGCTCGGGACATGGTCTCATAGAACACAGCTTCCACAGTGGTGATGAGGCGGTTGGACTCCAAGTCCAGCACGGTCCAGCCCTTGCTCGCAGCTGACACACCCAAGTGCAACCCCCAGCGAGCCTTAGGCGCCAGCTTCCCCCCACGCTGCGACTGTGGTACCATGTACTGCAGCATGCAGCCCCAAACACGCACCATACTGACATCAGGTTTGCGTCGGAAGGCGAGCTCGTACGGCGTCACACCAGAGGGTAGTGAGGCGTGCTCCACGCGGTTGCGCACCCAGACGGCCTGAGCCAACGCCAGGTGCCACCAGTGATGCTGCACACCCATGTGCAGCAACATCGTCCGCACCGCCTCCACAATGCTGCGCATCTCCCTCTCGGCCATCCCGTTCTGCTCCGGCGTGTACGGGCATGTGAGGTCATGGATGATGCCTTTACCGTCGAGGAAGAGCGTGAAGTCGTGCCCCAGGAACTCGCCACCCCGATCAGTGCGCAGCGCCTGCACCGTGGTCTTGCACTGTCGCTCTGCCATCGGGAGCCACTTCTGGAACGCCGCCAGCGCATCACTCTTCTGGGCCAAAGGGTAGGCCCAGACATATCGCGTCTTGCGATCCTTCAGCACCAAGAAGTAGCGGCTGCCGTCCTTAGCTGCTTCATGGAAAGGGCCACACAGGTCAGCATGCACCACCCCGAGCAACTCATCCTCCTCCTCTCCCACAGAAGGAAAGGTATGACGAGTGATCTTTCCCCCAACACAGGAGACACAAGGTATGCCTGACTTGCCCCCCTTCTCCAAATCCAAGCCCTTCACTGACCCGTGAGCCGATGTGCGCTCGATGGCATCAATACCAACGTGTGCCATACGCGCATGCCACAGGTCCCCCTTAGACCGTACGCCCGTCGCCAAGGTACGAAGTGCCACCGTTTCGCCTTCCTGCTGCTGCGTCGAACACGGCT